TCCCCTCATTCGCTATCACATTGCGCAAAAAATCACTTGAAAGACTATTTCTGAACCTGTACGGTCATGGGTAGCAGTTGACTAAAAAGAGGTTGTCGCAGGGAGCTAAGTCTCATGGGATGCGACCACCCAAGACATCGAGTCAGCTCTGAAAGAACTTGTAGGCTTCACGCCTGCTCCGATGATGAGACCTTAATTTATTCTCATTTCTGGCTCGCCTATCTCTCAAACATATGAGAAGCGATGCGAGAGGGTCGTTAAACTATCTGACAGTAACTGTATCTGAACAAATCCCACCTTCGAGAAAAATTATCTAGCCTTTGCCAGAGCGCGTTGAACTACCTTGCCACATATAGCGCCCCAACTAGGTGCCAAAGCTTTTAGGACCCGTTAGATTAAGTTTACAGAGCCATCACGCCGTATGAGGAATTTTCAGTTTCGATAGATGTCCACCTAAGACGCCAAGTGCACCAAATCCACCAGGTTTCTAGTGATGAGATGCTTTATTTTGAAACAGCTTGCAGACCATAGTGGTGCGTAGATTTGAACAAAATCGACACGATAGTAATTGTGTATATGTGTCTCATTAGATCCATACATATCAATTCCAAGAATGTGCTGCCTTCATTAAAATAGACAAACGCAAGTTGCCACACCAATATTACTGTCTGGGGAGCCAAATTCCAGGTCGTTTAACTCATTGTCGCTCCGTTGACCTCTTTTGGCGCCCGAAGGTGAAATTCCCTTTACAGACCACAGTGGTGTAAAGGGAATTTCACCGCACTGGCTAGAGGGCTTTCACAGCAAGTCTGTGGCATGGCAAGACCTGGTTTATGCATCATATATAGCTATATGGCATGCATGTCAAGCAGCGCTTTCAAGATGGTTAGGAACGCATCCCACTGTCGTCATGGCCATGACCCATAGTCTGCAGCAGCATGCCACTGTTATTACGGCAATAGCTGTGCATGCCTTTTTGCTGCTGTTTGCTCCGTTTTACGGTTAAGGTAGTATTGGCCGGGCCGTGGTCATCGTACTGGCTAGGCGGAAAGCGCTGCTTGACCCAAAATTTTCTCCCTCAAATTTCGATCAAGCGTATTGATCTACAATCCACTTTTGTGATGTCCTCAATGTTTGTAGAATGCAAATAAAATATTGTAAAAACCTTCTGAGTTCTATCGTCTTGAAAAGAGTTCACTAAGCTATGGCAAATTAAGGACACTGGTGAATTATTCCTTGCAGCTGTTAAACGCCCGATTTCTGCAGTTTATTGACCCCAACACACCCTCGGGTGGGGGGTCAAATTGGGTCGCCCGCCGAAGGTTTCTCCAGAATGGTTTCCGAAAGGCGCCGGGCAGCCGCGTCATGTTTTGCATAGCTGTAGACAACTGAATAGCGGATGGTTTGGAATTAAAATTTGAATGCACTTTTACCTGACCAACCTGAAGTTTGACCTTGTTTGACCTTATCTGACCCACAAATCATGACCTAGGAACCTCAAACTTCTACCTAAGTGAGTTCACGTACAGATTAACGCACCCTGTGAACTTAGTGTCTCTAGCTCTCTTAGTTCCCGAGATCTCGGGGGGGTCAAATTGAACCCCCGAGCAAAGGGTATCAGCCGGCCACCCGGGCGCACATTAAAAATGTAAACAGCATTGATTTCACGGTAGCGTCTGGTTTCTGTTCTGGTTACAACGTAAAAATAACCATGAAAAGAAGAAAACTGTATCCCTTGTTAACAAGTAAACTATATCCGGGGATATTTTTGTTGGGGGGGGGGGGGGGATCACCATAAAGGAGGCTTTTGTCAACCTTGTGTTCCTCTTAGCAAGGCTGTGGCTACCCCCTGCCTACTCACAATAGCAAACCAAGTCATCTACGTTGAATGACGGCAATTAAATGTATGTTGGGCCAATTCATACCAAAAGTAAGCAGCTTCCCGACGGCATTTTTCTGGGTTGGTGTGGTGTGAGGGAAGATGATTCGGAAAAAGGTACTGCTGCAGGTGTCCAACACATGTTTTACATCCCAATTAGTAGCAGTGCTGATCCAGAAATGTGTAACAAAGCAGCCATACCATCAGTTCGCGGTCAGTCATTCGGAGACAGCCGGACCAGGACAGCGGTCACCGCCGGCGGACGGGAGCGGGGCTCAGACAATGTATGACAGAATGGCCTTCATTCTGTGGCTCGGTTTTCAAAGAAGAATCTCCAGTTCTATGGCTTTTGTCACATGGTTTTTGGCAGTTTCAAGCTTCCGAATTTGTTTCCGTCTAAAATGACGCGACAATTCTTATCTCTTGAAAAGCAGCCAGCGAAGTGAAGACGCATGCAAAATCTGTTGTACTGTGAACCATTGACTCACTTTCAAAATTATCACCAGCCTATGCTCATGCCATATATTGGCATCTACCCTGTGGAGACAGATGCCTCCTCAACTGACCCAAAATGCCTACCCGCTCGTGGAATTTCGGCTCCCCAGGAAAGGCAACGTTGAAATGGACGAATAATCTTGAGAAGCTGGATAGCCTTATTTCCTGAATGACATAGATGACGGATAGGCAAGAGTGTGCACCGGTAAACAACAGCTCTAGATGCATATCTAGAATAACAGTCATTAGATTTGAATAAAGAGCGATAAAACTCCATTTCTGCTCCCCCCCCCTTTCCCGGTCGTCGGGCCTGTTTTCCAGAAAAAGTTCCTGAGGTACACCCTGAGCTTGCCCCCCCCCATATTTAACAACGTTCCTAAGCCTATGTATTTGGTCCCAGAGGGATTTGGCCTCTGGGAATCTCACTTGCCCCTCCAGCTATGTTGTCACAGGTTCAATCAACACTCAATGAGAATTTCTAGAGCACTCGTAAAATGACATTATGTCATGGCACAGAAACTGTTTGTAACCCCCAAAAGTTACCAATCTCAGTTGTTGCTATTCTTCACCCAGGCAGCTCATCGTACTGTTGGAAAATGGCTAGCGGACCTGACCTTACAACATTGATGATGTGACAGTAGCTGCGAGAACCCAAGATGCCAGCAAAGTAATAAGTAGATATTGCTTTAGCGGTGCGCATGGGCAGTCCAAAAATCCATTTGTGCCTTAACATTTCTTGGAGAGTTTCGGTTCCGAGCCCATGGATATGCTGAAAGGTGATCCAGACATCACTACTGCTGACATCGTGCGGAGTCAGATGACATTGGTCTTTTCGGCCCATCTGGCCAGGAAAATTACCGGTACCTCTCTTGACATTGAATGCAAACGCCGTCCCCTTCCTGTTGGTTGCACACTAATATTTTCCTTCCATTGAGCTGGCTGGTCGTTTATGCGTGTCACCGGTTTCAAGTATCCGGTATAATGACCGCAAGGACGAAGCGATCTGTGACAGTTAGCGTGAAAACCACACCAAATTTTTGGTAAAAGTCGCTCTCAATGGATACAGGGCATGGTCAAGTGATGCGGGCTGGTGTTGCGATATGTGATCAGCCACAGTGTTTAACCCCGACATGGCCAGGAGATGTACCAAAAATCGCCTCAAGACTCTCTTAATGTGAAAGAACGGCTTAAACGTACTCGAAAACGATCATTGAAAACCAGTATTGTGATGCCCTTCAACACGTAAATGTCCTAGAGCATCCCCATGGTAACGTCACCATGGGGTTGCCGGAACTAGTCCCGAGTAGGCTCCGATCCCACTCCTCCCACCCGTCTGGTCCACCTCTTTTCAGCATCTTACTATTCGTCGGCGCGATATCATTTCATTTTCAAACCGCTGGCAAACCTCATCTCGTAATCAATCATCGGCGTGTCATAGCTCCACAGAGTAACTCCACGGAGTATTTTCACCCTCCCTAGCGGCAAAGTGAGTCTTAATCGCATCGTCTGCCCCAGTTAAACCAGGAAAAATGGGAATATGTGGTTACGGTGCTGAGAAAAGGTCCTCGATGTGAGTTCTTAATGTCAACGTCCCTTCAACCTCAGGTTAGGTTATGATTGGTATTGGAAACACCTGGTCAACAAGCTGTCCGAATCGATAGAGGGAGGATATATCTTTGAACCACGATTGGTGCAAAATTTAGATATGACATATGTAGGTGGCCCAGACGAGCTGGGACTGGCTCAGACGAGCCGGGCGGCAGCGCACGAACAAAACCCAACGCCGTGGCGAAGCGCGCCCGGTTTAGAACACCCCGGGGCTGGTCAGCCGGGCGTTATCAGCGGAAGGCACGCGGAAAAGCGCATGTGGCCGGTTCATACGGAGTGTGAACAAAAGGCGCATGTGTTCGGGCCAGCATGGGCTTCATGCGGCGTCCATTGTCCGACGGAATGGACAAGATGAGGTGGGGACGGGGGGAGGGGGGACGCTCTGTAACAGCTAGCGCGGCTGTCAGTACGGCCGCCGTCGCTTCCAACTCCATTACCACCGCCGGCTCCAGACCCTCGCCGGCGGGTAGAATTTGCGACCCGCTAGGCTGGCCCCCATCGCAGCAGCTCGTAAGTCCAACTGAGTGGTGCGGCGCTGAATGGCGCGACTGATTACGATGAATTGCTAACGCGTCGGGCTGGAAGATAACGACTGTGGCTTGGCCAAAGCGTTAGCTTGCCACGGACAAGCAGCCAAATGTCCACTTATCGGCGGTATCGATAGCGCTTTATAGACGCAACCGCGCCGTGCTAGATGGCCGGTACAGCTCCGTAATTAGACTTCGTTTTCACGGTCTGGCAAATTTACACTGCTGCCAAGCTTGAGTACATGCATGTGCGACGTAATCATTGGGATGAACTCTTCTTGGTATTGATCTATGCGCACCCGCATACTTTTCATTTGAAATAAGGGGCGTAGGTGTTTTCCACTGTTGACTGAAATGCAAGCGTTATCGCGTTGGCTCAGTTTTTTAATTACGTTGCGACGTCGGGTTCAAGAAGACACGTTTCCAGTTTCCCGCCGATACATCAGAGACGCCCCATGAAAGGATCAAATGAGACACGTATTATGTTTCGATAAAAAATGTATCGGGAAGCATATTACATACACCATAAAAATACACTCTTGGTGCTATCCGAACGCGATGCCAGACGACTAGAAATGGAATGTAGAACAAAACTGCACACAACACTATGCAGTCCTGCACACAAAATGTAGGATGTAGCATAGTTATGTTGGCTACCGTCACTTACGGTGCTGATGATCGCCACAGAACAGCTGCCATAGAGCCGGTGCGCTCCAAAATTGTGGGGTTTGCAATAAAAAATGGCCAACTATTAAATACCTCGTAAGTAAGCAGAAGTGGCAAAATCTGTAAATACACCGCTTCGACAACTCTACACTGCTGTGGAAAAGGCATAAAAAATAACCTGTGCAGATGAAACTCACAGAAACTCTGGATACAGTGGCCAATAGACATGCACACGGATGCGACCAGTGGCACGTAGCACGCCCTCCGAACTGCAAGACCGCGAACCAGAGGGGACCGCTCTCCTCCACACGTTATCACAAGATGACTAGTCAGCAGTGCACACCACCGTTGGCGCCGACCGCCTCAGTACGCCAGCTCCGTGCCCCAGGGCCGGTACGGCTTCGGAGAGCTACTGCTGGCGCCGCTCTGCGCCTGCGCCTGGCCTCCCAGCGCATATGACGTCACAGTCTGCGTCACGCCGCCGAAGCCGCTGTTGCCCGGGTACTGCGCCATGACGCCGCCCATGGCAGACGACATGGCGCCGCCCATGGCGTAGCGCGACATGGCGTTGGCCGCCGCCGGGTCGACGGAGGGGCAGTGGCCGCCCAGCGCGCTGTGGTAGCCCTGGTCGACGCCGGTCGGCATGCTGCCGCCCGTCGGGTACGACTGGAAGCCCCAGCTGCTGCTGTGCTGCTTGTTGGCCAGTTCGCGCTGCGCCGAGTAACACTGCCGGACAGGAGCAAATAACGCGGTCAGGGCTGTTTCGTGGATGTTTGCCGGGTGAGCATTCTAAAAAGGTAACGCAAAGAAGTCCATCCCTGCCTTTTGTATGTGGCTGATCGGCAACTTACATCATTTACCCCCTGTTTCCTTTCAGCGAGTGGATAAAAATGTCCGAGAATCAAGCAGCGCATAATGCATGCCGAATATCTCGAGACATAAATACCCCCGAGCCATAACAGAAGCGGTCCCCGCGGGAGCGCCCCGTCCCACGCCTTCGCACCGCCACACGCGCTAGCTGTTGCCGACCCCTCCCTCACCAGCTCGTTGGCCTTTAGCTGCAGCATCAGCTGCTCGGTGTCGCGCTCACCTGCAGGTGGGACATGAGCCGCAGCCGGAGCGGGTCCTGAATGTCCATGCCCTCGACGGTGACGAGGTAGCGCGCCACCTCGGCCGCGCACTCCCGGAACCCGATGCTGTGGTAGTCGACGGCGAACTTGTTGGGGTCGTACGCCAGCGCGTCGAGGCCTGCTGGCGCGGCGCGGCGTCAGCAGCGATCACGGCGGGGTCACACCAGAGACGGAGGCCCGGCTGATATAGCTACGGGGTCAGCGGGTCACGACCGGCGACGCCAGGTCAGCCTAGCGTCAGCCGGGCGTTGGAACGGAGATGATGTCAGCCAGATATCAGGACAGGCAGATTGAGCAACGCGTTCAGACCGGGAGGCAGTGACTTCAGCAAGTTTCTGCGGTGTGCCACGATGGCAGTCAGTGGTCAATCCGTTTGTGAAATTGCACCGTTCCAGTTTAACGATGCGCGCCAATGACATCCGCGGTGTGGGCCCCGCAATTACGCATGACGAGGCAGCGATTGGACGTGCGCCGCCACCCCGACAGTTCGCTCCTCCAGGCCTGGCGACCCCGAGAGCCGCTCCGACAGTTCACTCCTCCAGGCCTGGCGACTCGGGGAGCCGCCCCGACAGTTCGCTCCTCCAGGCCTGGCGACCCGGGGAGCCGCCCCGACAGTTCGCTCCTCCAGGCCTGGCGACCCGGGGAGCCGCCCCGACTCCTCTAGCCCTGACGACCCCGGGAGCCTCTCCGTGTGACCACCGCCGCCACCGGCGCGGCAGCCGCTCTCGGGCGGCGCCGCGCGCGTCCGCGTGCCGTCGCCGGCCGTGGGAGGACCCACCTCTGACCCCCATTAGCGCCGGCGCTCCCGGGGGCCGTGGGAAGCGGTGCACGCACCGGAAGCGGGCCCGGCCGGCGCGTGGTTGGCGCCCGCCGGCCGCCCGCCGCCGTTGCCAGCGGGCCGCATCCGGTAGGAGGGCGCCACCGTCGGCGCACAGCTGGGAGGCGGGGATATTTGCGGGGCAGAGATGCGGAATGCCGGGGTCGCCAAAGTGGAGGTGCGGTCCGTTTATTGTGGCGCGTTCAGGGCTTAATTGGAGCCGTTATCTGATGACTTATACTGACAGTAGGCAAACTATGTTGGTCAACGGTACGCAAACCGGCCAGGAAGCGCTTCTCTTGCTGGATTTTATTAGAAAGGTTATTTTAGCACGACACATTTCATGATGGGGAAATTCACCCATCAGCAAATAGCGTTTCTACTTCATGGGAGCAAAAACCGACAAAGACGGCATGGTCTATCTGCAGAACTTTCCAACTTTTGTCGTGATATTTCCTTCCAGACTCATATAAGCCGGCAACACAGGCTGCGCCTCTGTATTTGCACGGTGGTTGGGAAGAAGTCCCCAAAAGGGCTGCATCTCGCCGGGATGATCACATGACACGATTTCAACGTGACCACTAAAATCGCCGGGATTAGCCCATGATATAAGATTATCAAACTTCAGCGCGCGCTCGGCCGCCGACACCATCCTCCGCCCAAACGACGCACGACAGACCGGCGATGTCTCCGGAGACCCGAGCGGTGCACAGGCCACTAACGACGGCCGCGCCGCCCGGCGAGCCCGCCGCCGCCGCCCGCAGGCGCGGCCGCTCCCACGCGGCGCGAGGCGCGTGAAGCCGGCGGCCCATCGACGGTTGCCGGCGGTCGGCCAGGAGCCATTGAGGGCGGCCGCGGCGGCCAGCAGGCGCGCCCGGCGTGCCGCCGCGTTCCGCGCGGGTGCCGATCGTTTGAGAGCCCCGCGCCGGCCGTTTGAGAGCCGCCGCCGCGCCGCGACGGACGGCAGGGGCGGCGCCGGCGCCCCGCTCTGGCCATTGATGGGACGGTCCCGGAGGCGGCGGCAACGCACCTGCCGACCCGGCCGCCCTGGGAACGACGCCGACCCGGCGGCCGCCCCGCCGGCGGCCGGCATGTGAGAACCGCGCTCGGCGACCGGCGGTCCGACCACACGCCGTCCTCCGACCGGGGCGGCGCCGAGACCGCAAGGGTCGGCGCTCGCCGGTCAATCCGACGAGATATCACACCACGGACGATTGCTTGTCGGTGACTGGGGAGCGCGTCTTGAGTCGAGGTGCACCAGCCTTAACTTCTACGGCCAAGCATCCTATCTCCCGGGAGGACCAGTCCGCGAGCGATCGACGTGATAACGGCGGCATCTCTGGTCCTCAATCAGCATACTTAACTCGTTACCGCGCCCCAGGGTTATGGAGGAGGAGCGTTCCGGTCCCTGCCCAGTGGCGCTGAGTTACGAGTGCGAGTTCCGCCCCACGGTTTGACCGCGCTACAATGCGGGGCTAATTGAAGAGCACCTGTGTGCCGTCCGGCGTCAATGGCGGGGGGGGGGGGCAGGGGGCACACCTGACCCACTGGCCAGCGGGGCGGATGTCACGTCCCGGGGCGCCGGAAGCCCGACAGATGTGTTCTGCCCCGTCTCCCCCCCCCCCCTTCCTCCTCGGCTCGGGCCACCTGACGCCCAAAACGCCCTGATCCCCGTATGCCATTCAAACTCAACCAGTCTGGGCAGACTGGCTTCCTGCCCTTCATCAACGGCGGCTGCCATTAAAGAGAGAGAGAAGGAGAGAGAGAGAGAGAGAGAGAGAGAGAGAGAGAGAGAGAGAGAGAGAGAGAGAGAGAGAGAGAGAGAGAGAGAGAGAGAGAGAGAGAGAGAGAGAGAGAGAGAGAGAGAGAGAGAGAGAGAGAGAGAGAGAGAGAGAGAGAGAGAGAGAGAGAGAGAGAGAGAGAGAGAGAGAGAGAGAGAGAGAGAGAGAGGAGAGAGAGAGAGAGAGAGAGAGAGAGAGAGAGAGAGAGAGAGAGAGAGGAGAGAGAGAGAGAGAGAGAGAGAGAGAGAGAGAGAGAGAGAGAGAGAGAGAGAGAGAGAGAGAGAGAGAGAGAGAGAGAGAGAGAGAGAGAGAGAGAGAGAGGAGAAGAGAGAGAGAGAGAGAGAGAGAAGAGAGAGAGAGAGAGAGAGAGAGAGAGAGAGAGAGAGAGAGAGAGAAGAGAGAGAGAGAGAGAGAGAGAGAGAGAGAGAGAGAGAGAGAGAGAGAGAGAGAGAGAGAGAGAGAGAGAGAGAGAGAGAGGAGAGAGAGAGAGAGGAGAGAGAGAGAGAGCAAGAAGAGAGAGAGAGAGAGAAGAGAGAGAGGAGAGAAGAAGAGATGAGAGAGAGAGAGAGAGAAGAGAGAGAGAGAGAGAAGGAAGAGAGAGAGAGAGGAGAGAGAGAGAGAGAGAGAGAAGAGGAGAGATAGAGAGAGAGAGGAGAGAGAGAGAGATGAGGAAGCGAGAGAGAGAGAGATAGAGTAGAGAGAAGGGAGAAGAGAGAGAGAGAGAGAGAGAGAGAGAGAGCTGGGCACCTGCGAAAGGAAATGGTGGCCATTTCCTTGCACTTGATCGGGTCTAACGCGACCCACCAAAAAAGCGAGGGACGATGCTGAGAAAATTGTCATTGGTTCCATGGACCGTACTTATTTGAAGGGGCGTCGGGGAGCGGCAGGACTGGGAATTCATGAAGGATTTCTGCGGTGTCTAAGCGAATGCTTCGCGAGCCGAAGCACGTTAGACAGATCATGCAACGGTAAACTGAGTGAAATTGTATTTAGTCCTAGAATCGAGTTAAGTCCTGGGTTTCGCTCCGGGCTCGTTGTGGGCCTTATTTGCATCATCTGCTACCTTTTACAGCATAGCATGCTCCTGTCCGCACATTGGCCACTGAACAAAATGTGACAATGTACGGACGATATAACGACCATCTTTAATTCACCATGTTCCATAATCACAGAAGACCTTAAAGGTGGTGGACAACGACAGTGAAACGCAAGCGTGTAACTCATGGCTCCCAGAAGAGCACTTAAGGATCATACGCTTAAGTAAGCTAGATTGGAATGCAAAACGACATTTCAATTTTTGTATACATTTTCGGGACAAACTGCAAGCAACAAAAATATGTATGGTCTATGAACGTCAACAAGATGGACTGGGCTTCAAGATGGGCTACAAAAGGGAGAGGGGGACTGAATTAGATGGCATCGACTATCCCCACTTTCACGAGACGTGCAACTTCTTCGTGGGCCGAATCAGCATCCTCTCGATGTTGAGGCGGGGGGGGGGGGGAGGGGGGGGGGGGGCTGACGGCAAGGTGTGTGTATGCGCGGGTGTGGGATATGGGGGTCAGAACCCCCTCCAACTAAAGCAGAACCTACAACTGGACCACACGCATGCCTGACTGCGATCTCCCAAAATTACCACCTTCGTTCGCGCTACCCAATATGTCGCTGTCAATGAACTGCAGCCAACGTCTTTGCGCGGTGATGTGCGGCTCCACGATTGGTTCAAAGCTGGGTGGCCGGCCACCCGGCTGTCCCCCGCCGTCAATCGGCTCCCCGTCGGGTGGCCGGCCCCCTGGCTATCCTCCGCCGTCCATCGACTCCCCGTCGGGTGCCCGGCCATCCGGCCCTGTCCCGCCGTCGCCGCCGTCTCGCGAGTCGCTCAAACTCACCCTTAGCGTGCAGCACCTTGAGGTGGTCAACGGTCATTTGCAGGATCTCGGCCTTCTCCAGCTTGGCCGAGCCCTGCTTCTCGAAGGCCGTGGGCACGAGCCGGCGCAGCTCGGCCAGCGAGTTGTTGATGCGGTCGCGGCGCTTCTTCTCGATGACGCCCCGCCGTCGCTTCCGGTGCGTGCCGAACTCTCCTGGCTGCTCACTGAGAACCGGAGACAGTGTGAGGGGCTGCCCAACGGCGCGCTGGTCGGAGCTGGTGCGGCGGCCTATCAAACGGGATGCTGAGAGGGCAGGAGGGGTGAGAGGGCGCGCCTGATAGCTTGGTGCATTCACCAACGACGACACGGCCTTTGCTATGCAATTTTTTCCCGAGATGACACCTGTGCGATTTCCACACGATTTCCTTTGAGTATAAAACGATTGCGAACACGAGTAATATTCTCGCTTCTGGAACATGTCATGCGCTTTGTTAAGCAACAAATGCACAAAGACTATGCCTAACAGTATAAATATCCAGGCACCCCATTTTCACCGTTGGTAGGTGGGATGCTCCAGCCTTAAATGGAATGTTTTACATTTGAAGACGGTGAAGCATGCATCAGAATGATGAAATAAGTTCACTTATAAATATTGGCATGCTTTCTAAGCGCACAAGACTGCTCTAGACGGCAAAATTCATTGTTAAGATATCCTCCTCAATGCGTCATGGTCTGATTATGTTATCGTACTTTCCACAACGTTGATTGGGAACCAGTTGACGGCCGTTATACCTGGAAATCGCTTTCACGAACGCCAGATATGAACGCCTTGACAATTATTTTCTTCTGGGCTGTGATCGCCGCATTACTCATGGAATGGCAGGATTTGAATGACGTTACTATGACGTCATGAATGGCAATGTGATTTTGAAATACCCTCCCCGATATACCTTTCCCATTTTCGAGGGCGTGTAGCTCAGAAACTAGAAGGGCCTTGGTCTTAAAAAGGGGCACGATTGCGAACAGCACCGAAAGGTCTTGAAGACGCTCTTTCAGTTCAAAACCGCACATAAATATGGAACGTTTTCCTTATTGTCCACTTATTGGGACGCCCGTATTACGTCAAGCGAGCGAGAACAGAAATTTCGACGTCAAGACGTCAAGCGAGAACAGAAATTTCGGACTTCAAAATATGTCGAAAGGAAATTTCGGACTACGCTGTGATCAAAGCTCAACTGGGATATGCTCATGTAACAAAAACGTAAGTGTTTGTAAAGCAGTCACCTTCTTAACCAGTATGGGTTTTAAGAGTAAATATGAACCATTAGAAGTCGCACTTAACGTACATTTGAACATCGCTCATCGGAATATTTCAATGTTTCCGAGCGCTAGCATACAAAACTAGCCAACAAATAAAAATGAACGATGGTGTTAGGCTCCAGCGGTTGCGACTAGCAAGCATACATTCACAAACTTTTTTAAAAAATCCAAATAAACCAGCGAGCAAGCAGAAAATTAACGCTTAGCCTCCACGAACGCGCTACTTATACCAATGCAACTCATATCACAAGCCTGTACTAAAGTCATATCACCTAACTGGCATTTTTCCGAGCAAAACTCAAAAACCCAAAACAAAAAGCAGCGACGACAGGTTGAAGTCCCGCACCGAGCCACGCCGCACACTCACTCTCTGCAGTCGTCCGTGAACGCGTCGTCGCAGTCACTGTCGCTGACCGAGCGCTTCATCCTGATCATGCCTACGGGCCAGCGGCGAGTCACGTGACCGGTCGGCGGACGCACGTGTCGCGTCTGGCGCCGGCGGAAGCCACCCCCTGTCTGACACACGACCGGCCGCCGCCCGGCCGCGCGCCGGCGGCGCGCACGGCGCATGCGCGCGGCGACCCGCGCTACCCTCCGACCCGCGTTCCCACGGCCGCGTGGGAGCGCGCGGCGCCTGGCGGCGGGCGGGCGTGCGCCGCGCCGCCGTCGACGCGGACGTGCGTCGCACCCGGCAGACGTCCGCGCTCGTTATCTCAGCGGGCGGCGGCCCCCGAGGCGTGGCGCCGCCGCGATGGGTGACGACAGACCGCTGCCGGCCCGCACGTGCGTGCGGAACGGCGGGGATTCCCTGTAGGAAGCTGTGGGGAGGTCCGTCAGGCGAAGTGGTGGTGTCGTACAGGAAAACAAGCGCTGGGATTCATGTCTAGGTCTAGGCTGTAATCGCAGCGTCTACGTGACGTCACGTAGACTTTTTGTTGTCCGGGTCGCTGCGAACACCATAAGGCGCAGAGCCCGCTGGTATTGCGTATGACATCGATCGTAACGTCAACAGCATAACATCTTTGTCGTCACTGGGTACACCCCTAGTCGGACCAGCTGACTGTTGCCTCTCGGTCAGAGTGATTCTGCCAGTCACGCGAGATTTACGACAGATACTTTACTAACGACAGTGAATACTTGTATGTCCGTCCTGATTCTGTTCTCATGACGTCATGCGAATTTCAGTCCGTCTAAGAGCTCAACCATTTTTACGAGTCCGAGTCCGAGTCCGAGTCCCTGAGAATGAGTCCAGCCTGTGTCTGAATTCAAACGGCTTAAGTCCGAGGCTAGTCCACGCGTTTCGTACGGTATCTCACCAGAGGTCAGCTTCACGTGAGATTGTTACGATCGACGTCAAGGCTTCATTAAATCGCACGGGTTTCGTGCTGGGTCGGTTAAGGTACAAGCCGCCTACCTGGCCCGCCTACCAGGCAGGCCGATTTAACGATTTGATTGAACATGTCCTGTCTCGACTCTGGATGGGTTGAATATCAGGACCTGTTTATAGTTTGGTCGATGGCATCTTAATCCTGTTCAAGATTAAACAGATCCTAGAAGCTTGATAGGCCTCTTTGATATCTGACGAGTTTTGCACGAAATGACTTGAATATGAATATGCTCTTAAGCGAGATTTCATGCTTCTCGGGACCTGTCTGAAATTGCACATGTGGTGAAATAAGCAGGTTGAACTTAAATATATCATGACCATGGATTGGGAATACTTAGAACCATTACAGTGGCAGATCTAAAAGCGAGCAAAACGACATACATCCCATACAAGATATAACATAGACGACATTACCTGACGACAAAATGCTAAAATTGTAGTAACTTTGACGGGTGCCCACTGCTACGTCTGCCATACTACATACCCCAATCGTTAAATCAACCTGTCATGGAAAAACTTCCGGCTAGTTACATTTTCCGATAGGATATTCATGCAACCTAGCCCAAACCAATTTAACCAAACCAACCCCAACCAGATCCAACCGGCCCAAGAGCACCCAGCCGAAACTACGCAAAGCAAAGCTGACCGATTCGATGCAGTCCAACCCAGACGCTTGAAAAGTCCCCGTGGACTGTTGAAATGCGCCAGTTTTCAAGTTGAATGAGAGCAAGCATTTCATCCGACTCGCGGGATTCCTGAATCATTCAGTCCGAGTCCGGGTGTTTTGGCACTGATGCTGGTGTTGTGGGTCTGGGTGCATATCCACGCTTTTTTCTTCTCAAATGGCTGAGTCCGAAGCGGATGCAGCCGCAAAGTTAATTGGTCTACGTCAGTCCGAATTGTAAACGACATAAGCAAACCTGTGTACGAACTAACATAGTTCTGACCGGCATCAAGCCCGCACCAACAACACAAGGATGAGGATGCATTGCTTATTGAACGGCAGTGAACCAGAAACCAGTTTCGAAAACAGAAGTTACTATTTACTTCTGGCTGGCCGAAGTAATTTTGGCGTTACTCGTTACTTCCTGCGCCGGTTTCATAAAGCTTGCAGGAGCCCTCCGAAGTAAACAGTAAGATGCCGAGGCGGAAGTGATCTCAATAGCGATACAAGCGGCTGTTGCCATGGACAACGCAGCTGTCGCTTTGCACCCGATTTACTCGGAAGCCTATGATAAATACAGATATATGCAAGGTGGCATGAAAGGTGTGATCGTTTGTGAGCTATCTCAGTTAAGCATTTCTGATTTATGTGACGATTAGTTCATATATCTGTTCTAAATTCGCTGAAATGCAGACATCATATAATGCTTGGTATTGTTTCTCTACTCACAAAAGTAAGCAAAGCTGTTAAGTTCAAGTGTTCATACTCGGGGTTTCCCTGTGCTGCGTGTGTAGGCAATATCGACCTCACGGACAAAAGTTCCCTATAATAGCTAACTCAAGGTTGGGCATTTTGTGAAGTTATGTCATGTCTGTCCATGTCATAGCAAGAAAGAAAAACATGATCTCGTGAAATCCACCACATGAGGGAGAGGTAAATTTCCATACGCATCTGTCAGCCTCATCAACCACAATTTTTGGCGTATGTTTGTGATGCCTGCAAGGTTACAATGCGAACTGCAGTTGCATTAATTTTTTCACATATACGTAAACGTCGGCCCTTCATATGTTCACAGCGCTTCAAAGCTCAACAACTTCTCACTGCTTGTTAGTTCTCAAAATGTTCGGTTCCTTTGCTCGTGCATGCTCATGAGCCTATCTTTGCTATGAGCTCTATCATTCTCACTGCTGATTCTACGACAGGCCTGAAGCATCTCTTTATTATACTCCAGGACTCGGAACGCATTTCTACTCCATGGCCAAAGCAAATGTGTTTATGAAAGCCAATGGATGCTTGGTGAAGTAAGAGTAACTCCCTGCCTAAATGCTCTCGGAGATAGTAGAATTTGACGGGCGTTGAAGTAAATTGCTACTTTTACTCTTTGCAACCGGATTCGAAAGTAAAAGCTTGGGAAGGTACTTCCTACGCCCGCAGAAGAGAAATTCGTGGACTCGGAAGAACAGAGCGCACCTCAAACTTACTGGTTATATCTAACGTAAGCCGTGCCAAAAATGGAGCTCAAAGCTCGTCATCCACTCCTGGAATGCAATTACATGGGTCAACGTGCTGGGAAATAGGGTTTGGCCCGGTTGAAATAACCAAACTACCACTACACCACATCAAACCAAACCCAATTTTATTACACCGCACTCCCACCCGTGCATCCGCTTTGCACTACAGGAACTGGCGCATCCCAACTCCCTCTCTGCTCCCCTCCCCTCCAACCCGCCGTGGTCCATCTGCGCCGGCTCACCCCCTCCCCCCGCGCTCCGACGGAGGGGGGACAGGTGCGCCGGCCGCGCGCAGGCGACGGCGTCGCCCGCCTGCGGCACGCCCGGCACGCCAGGAATGCGCGTCCTGCGTCGCCGGCGACGATCGCCGGCCTGGTATTAATGCGTCGCGACCGACGCGCGGCCGGGGGACGCCCGGCGGCACGTGCGGGCGCCGGAGCGCAGCTGAGAGGGCGGCCGGGCCACGCTGCGCGCCCGCCAGGCATTGTGGGGGCATTGATCGCGGCTGGTGTCATGGGGACCCGGCATGATGGGCTGCGACGGCGGACGGGCAACCGAGCGAGCTGGCCTGTTTGATGATCGCGGCTGGTGTGATGAGGACCCGGCGTGATGGGCTACGACGGCGAACGGCGAACAGGCAGCCGAGCGAGCTGGCCTGTTTGACTGACTGGCGGTGAGGGACGCGTCTGGTATTGTTATCAAGTGTTAGCTTTTAGTTTCTCTCATCGTTGAAACCAGTGACCAAACATTTTGATAAAACAGAAGCTCGTCGCTTGTACCCACTTAATTAGGTTTTGGAAGCAACGTAAATTTTGGTTAAAGAGCACTGTATGAAAGACCGGATGGACATATCCGATAATAATATCCACCAGCAGATAATACAGTTACCAACAGAAAATAATATCTACCAGCAGAATGTTTTTGCCGTTTCCAATGTATCTCCCAGTCGTACGAGTGCATTGCCAAGTTTGTCGCACATGCTGATTCCCTGACGTCAATGCTCGAGAAGCAGCTACGCTGTCGGGTACGCAATTACGATCGGCGGAAGATTTAGTACCATTGTAATCCGTGCGAAACTAGTCGTTGAACGCTTGAACAGCTTGATAGTCGTGCAGACAATTTTTCTAAAGCACAGCGTCGGCAAGTCTGTTTCAATTACTTTTTTTGTAATATATACACACATATATTTGTGTGTACACATAAATGTATATACATGCATGCATACACACACACACATATGTATATATATATATATATATATATATATATATATATATATATATATAAAGGCATCAGTGCGCTGTAAAATATAAATGTTACCAATTTACCCAAAAAGCACGGAGATCACAGTTCTAACTCGTCCTGTTTTTTTCTCGGTAGTTTCGGCAATGTGCTACTTATATGCCTCTTTGTCAGGGAATATGTTTATTTCGTGTGGTACCACTCATGTGTGGATGTCTGTGCATCCCCAGTTTTTAGAGCGCCACCTCCCATGCGGCGCCCATAGCCGGTGCGGTCCGAGTATCCGAGGGACTCGCTCCCCCCCCCCCCCCCTCCCGCTGTCATCCGTGACGTCGAGTCCACCTCCGATCAACGCATCTTGGTCCTCCAGGGAGGAGAGATGGCATTAGGGCTCTTCATGAAATTCGTGAATTCATGGACATGGATGGATTATTATCGATCATAGATTGATCCTTGGATTGAACACATCTAGATTGCGAAGTTCCCAAAACTGTGCGGATTATAACTGAGTTGTAATTCTGATCTGGCAAGCCCAAATTGATTCAAACAGACCTAACACTTCAGTGGTATTTGAATCACCATTTTTGGGTGCATTTCACAATAACTCTGTACATAAGATGGGGTGTAAAGCTCACGAAGTAAATGGGAACATTCTGGGCTTCATGTCACACTAAATCGCGTCTGAGCTTGAACGG